TACTATCTCAATCGTACAAACTTGAACCGAGCACGCTGAAAAAGTAATTCAATTTGATAATTATAGAGTAATCTAATTTAATATCCATGCGAATGTATTATACAATATTAATAATATAATTATAAAAAATTCGACTTCCTACTGTCAAATGCACCTTTTTTTAGCTTATATGTATCATCTTTGTTATTTTCTTTTCTTATAGCTTTTTTTCTTACTTTAATTTTATTTCCTCTTCAAGTTACTTTAGATTATTTATATGTATGTTTTCACTCTCGTCTCAGGGATTTTACTTTCACATTCACTCATGATTTCACATTTCTTTCCTTTTGTATATTTTTCCGTACTATTTTATGTTTTATGTGCATTTTTTCTTTTTGATCTATTTTTTTTTTACATTTTCCTCACTTTTACATGATGATAATCTTTTTCAGCGAATTTGATATTTTAAAAGAATGATATTTTAAATAATCATTCAACTTACTACCACTTTATATTTATACACTACACTATGAAGTAAAAATATATATCTTTATTTACTTGTTTAATCATATATTTATATTATATCAATAATATAATTTCAATAATGATACAAATTAAACAAAAAACCGTATAAAAGGTTTATTTACCTTAAATTATTTTACATCGAATTATTTACTCGTGTTATTTATGGATAATACATCTTAATTTGAATTTTATTTTTCCCATTATTATAATCCTGTCTTATGATATTCTGGTTGTTTTTAAGACTTAATAAAAATATATAGTTAACTAGTATTCAAATATTTAAATATGCTTATATAGTTAATTCTAAAGGATTTAATTTTATAACCAGAATTAATAGTTTTATATTTGAAAGCTTGAAAGATTCGTTATTCAAATATCATCACATAAATCATAATTGTAATATTTGCATTATGGCTTCTTTGGCTGATATTGTGTGATAATTAGTAATTAATAAAGTATGTATTTTTATGAAGAACTTGTGAGTGGTTAGAAGAAATTTGCTTAATGTTATAATGTTTTAAAACATGAAATTGGGTCATTTATCGTTATTTTTTAATTATCTTACTTAAATTGAAGTTTAAAAAATAGATGTTATGGTAATTTGGCAATATATTTTTATCTCACTCATATCAATATTTTTGGTTTTCTCGCAATTTCTCATGTTATCTCTTAGAGCTCTTCTCTCTCTCTCGAATAAGTAGTTTAATAAAAGGATGCTTAGAAAGTATTATTCAAGGTTGTTTAGAATTAGAAATAGTTTTAGTCTAGAAAAAGATAATAATTGCACATTATCCATAATAGCATTAATTGTCATCTCCTTAACATAAATCATAAATATTAAATTCGTGATTATATCTTAATATCTGTGAATCAGGGTATATGCGATTACTGTATAAACATTATATTTAAAAACATGAATAGTACTAGATTATTATTTTTATTATTCATTTTAATTAATACTGTTTCATTTATAATCGAAAATATTTGGAGTGACAACTTCATGTTATTGTTATTTGAAATATATTAAATTCATTATATTTATGTATTATCGTCTATACATCATTTTACTGTATTATAATGTAGCACTTATTATTTTAAAAACAATATTATTTTATGTTGTTGCGACTAAAGCATTAAAATAATTAATAAATGTGTGTAAAATTTTATCTCAATCGATAATAGTATTTCTTATATAAAGTATGATGTTTTAATTTAAACAAAAAGATCCAATAAAAGAAAAGTAGTAATAGTTATGAAAATTTATAAAAAAATTTGAAAATTAACTTAGAATGAACATATAAAAAAAAATTAATGAACGATTTTGATAAATGTGCGTACAGATGAACATTTTCAATAACTACAGTTGTTTTAACTAATTTATTTTGAATAGAATTTGTTCAAGTTATTTATATTAAAATAAAATTTTTTTGTTAAATAATTAGTTTAATTAATTTTTTTTTAATTTATTTCTTTTTATTATTGTTTAAGCGAAATAAATATTATGTAAAATTAATTGATAACGGTAATCGAATTTATTTGTTTATATTAAAAATATTAGTATAAAAGTTTTTGTACTAAAAACATATAGTTAATTTATGTAATTACGTAAATATAAATATTTACGAGTGAGTTTTATATTGTTATAAATCTGTAAATAATTTCTGAAATTCTATATACATGAAAGATTACAATATGTCAACTGCTGAAGAACAACAATAAGAATAAATTAGGTTTTAATTACCTTAATAAGACATATTGAAATAATTAAAAAATATAATTTGTTATTGCGTTGTAAAATTTTATATTAAATGCAATCTAAAACATTTGAGTGAGATACATACTGTACACAAAGTATTTTTGATTATCAAAAGTCTGAGTGCAAATTTTTCTTAGGTTTAATACTTGTAATCAAAAAATTAATATAAAAATAAAAATAAACATAAGAGTTAAAACTGAATTAAAATTGAACTTAAAATTGAATATTAAAGATATTTATAAAATAAAATATTTAAAACTAGAAACAATATAAATGGATGATAAAAATATATTTCAGTAACAGATAACATAATGAATGGTTTATCAGTAAGAATAATATCTTTTGAAATGGTTTATTATAAATATAAAATAACAGTTTAACTAGTTAAAGAATGCGTATTCAATGACTACATCATGCATCATCAAGTGAAATAAAATAGAAACTAGTGTTAAATAATTTTTAAAAGAAACGTCTATAACAAATGTAAAGAGTGTATATTGATAAATAAATTATGATAGTTATTAACAAGTACCTACAATTTCCAAATTACATTTTTAAACAACGTTAATCTTTAGAAAATTTTAATTTCAATGAATATTAATTTATTACGTTAATATATTAATTTATTAAGTTTATATATTAATATTAATTAATAAATTACAAGAAATATGAATCATAATTGAACAAATTATTTTGATTTTTTTGTAAATATTTTAAAATTTTTGTCGAAAAAACCATTTCATAAATTAGAACAATAATATTGTTGACATATGTGAGCAAACAGTTAAAAAAATTTTTAATAGTCATTAAGTAAAATAAAAACATGAATATGATATTTTTAACATAATTTAGAATTATGAATAATTATGAATTTTTATATGAAACAAAAATTTGTTAGTAGCATATTATAAGAAATATATATATATAGGTTTTCAAACAAATAACAGAAATAATATATAAGTTTATAAAGTAAATAAAATTTTATATAAATTAATATAAGCAAATCAAAATTAAGATATTTGAAAAGAATCGTAAAGAATATGATTTTCGAAATTCATCATTGATAAGATAAGATCATATAAGAACATTCATATAAGAATATTCATATTAGAACAAAAATATATTTTTTAATTTAATAGATAAATTATAAGTGCCTCCTCAAATTGTATATCCTAACATTGATTATATAGTAAATTTCTTGAAATTCATTTTTGCTTTCGTCGTGATTCTCTATCTTTGGTAACTTTCTTGTTTATTACAAAATTTAAATATGTAATATTGACGTTTTTCGGAAATAATGTTTATAAACTACAAAGATATTAAGAATGACAATATGTGACAAAAATTAATTTATGAACAAGACATAAATTTTTTCCATAAATATTTGATCAATTTAATATGTATTAATTATGTTATATTTATAGAGAAAAGAATATTGTAAAAGTTTGTATTGAAAAAGTTTATAGTTTTCTGATAAACTGTATAAAAAATTAATATTTCAGCTTTACCAAGGCATTGAATGTAATTGGAAAAATTATACAAAATTTATACGTGTTTTATGAATACTCATTTTGCAAGTTTTTATTTTATTTGTTATTACTTAATTTTACTTTATATACAACAAATGTTACTCGAACAATAATATATATATATATATATATATATATATTATAATGAAATTAAAATTAATTGAAAAAAAATGAAAAATATACATTATGAGCAATACAAAATATTTGATACACTTAACACATATCAATTAAATATAGACTTTTGAACAAAAAAATTATTTTAAATTAGTTGAATAAAATAAAAGGAAAATTTAGTTCATAAGAGTGCACTTAGATAATAATTTGCAATTAATTAATTTATAGCAACTTATTAGGTACTATTACTACCTTTAGTAAACCTTAATTAATTATAGGTTATTAGATATTTTTTAATATGTATTGTTAGATAAGAATATACTATTATATATAAATAATTATATAGTATAAATAATATATTAGTACGTATTCACCGAGTTTGTAATAAGAAATCAAAAAATATTATTGGTATATATAAATTTTTCATTTGAAATTCGGTTATTAATATTACATAAAAATTGTATTTTCTAAAAAAAAACTGCATAAAGTTAATTAACATTTTATATAAAATTTATACTATATTCATACAATAATAAGAAATTGATTACATAATATTAGAAGTTTTCTATATTATTAGACTGATTTATTTTAATTGAATTTATTAAATAATATTTTATATTGATGCGTGATTTTTATTTTCTTGATTTTATTTGATATAAAATTCAACATAAAATTAAATTATAGCGGCAATTTAATGGCATCACTGTAAGAAACTTATATTTCCTGAAATTTGATCTCTTCTTGGTAAAGGTTGTTCCTGGAACTTACTTTTTGAATTCATTTATACGAATGTTTGGCGGTATAGAGCTTCAAGTATATTGTATTATTTTCATAATTATTTTTAATTACAACTGTAAATAAAAGATAATTTATCATAAAAATATTCTATTTTATTTATTTAATTAATTGTACAACAAGACATTAAACAAATAGCATGTTCTGCAAAGTAAATAAAAAATCTGACAAAGACCGCATGGAAATAAAAAATATTTTCCACCCAGAAGTGTAATTTATTAAAAATTACATTATAAACAAGGAAAATAAAATGACATCAAAGTATAAACCGAATCTAAAATTAAATTATCAAAAATCTCGGCATGGTGAGTGTACTGCTAACATAGTTCGTAATAAAAGAGTAAATACCGAATTTGCTAGAAAGAAATCAAAAATAATGAAGATTGAAAATTCAAAATTTAATATTATAAAAAGTTATTCTAAATGTGAAATTTGCAAACAGAATCTAGAAGATAAATATTTGAATATTTATAATGGACACCCAAATAATGCAGTCGATGAGCACATAGCTCTAATTGATGAAAAATTAAGTTTTTGTACTGGACATAAAAATATAAATCAAACTGGTTTAAGAGCTGCTTATAAAATTACTTTATTCAAGTATTTTATAATTATTATATAATTATTTTAAAGATTGAATAAATTATGTATAATAATTTGTATTTATATTTTAGTGTATATTGTAAAAATGGTCATTTATGTCCATTTGATTCAGGGTTGGTTAACAAAGATATGGGTATTTATATATCTGGTTATTTAAAACCAATGTATTGTAATAATCAATCAAGAATATCTGATGCCGTATCAACTAAAGACATTGGACCTATTGTTCATTGGTTTATTGCAGATTTTATTAGTTGTCAAGAAGTTACTGTAGTTTTATCTACATCATTGGGAGAATATTATTTGATGCAGCCATCTACAGATTATAAACCATTTATGATATCAGTTGGAGAAAAAATATTTTTATGTAAAATTGTTATTGAATCCCTTTTAAATGATCCATGTACTAAATATGAGGAGTTATTAAATAAGTTTAAGGTCTGAATATTTTTTTAGTATAATTACACTATATAATGCATTTAAAATTAAATCCAATTAATAAATTGTATTTTAGTTTTGTAATATTTAAAATTTTATAATAGAAATAATAGAATTATATAATATAAATTTTATCAGTAACTAAAATTTTAAACTTTATTTTAGTAATAATTAAACTTTAAAGAGTTAATTCAAATTATATAATTAATAAATGTATAAGTAATTTTAATATTAATGAAAAATTTTCATATTTAATTTAAAATAATTTATGGAACGTATGTTAAATAAAAAATATAAAATTTGTTTATATTTGATTATTGTAGTAGTTTGATATTAATTTAAATATTAAAATATTAATTACATATATTTACTTATATTTTATTGGATTTCAGGCTATACCAATGCCACAGAGTTTTTCAGGATTTATAGAAGATTTTTTAATATACAATGCTCAATTTATTTGTGAGCAAATTGTTTTATTTGATGAAGCAGCTACATCAGAAGAATCATTATTAATTAATGCTCCATGCATAAAATTTCTTATTGACTTAGCAGGTATAACAATTCAAAAAGATTTTAAAAAAACTAAAATATATCCGCATTCTCAAAATGATAATTGGCTAAGTAAATTAAGGTGTAAATATAATAAATTCTCTTCTATAAAGTTAACTACCACTCAACAAGTGCAGGATATTTTGGAAAGCATTATTCCAATCCAACAAAATAATATTTCTAATAAACGTTTATTGAAATGTAAACGTTCTGTTAAAACATGTAAAATGTGTTTAAAAATTGATTGTGATGAATGCTCTGTTTGTAACTTTGATAATCCTGGAACTAGCAATCAAGTTTATATTAATTATCAATGTCAAAAAATGAAAATTGTAAGTGCATCTTTGGCAATTTAATTAAATTTTTTTATGTTAATATTAAAAATAAGAAATAAATTAATAATTTATTAAACTTTTTATATTTGCAATTTCAAAAATGTTTTCACCTGTTATGAAAATTAGGAAAAATTATGAAAACAAATAGTCGTCAGATTTGTTATTCTATACAATTGAATCAAATTAAATAAATGTAATTTTGATTTAAGAAAGATTTTATGTTCAAGTATTAATATAAATTAATACACTTACATATATAAAAAAAAATATTAAACATTCTAAACTTTGATTTTTTAAAGCTTTTATATAATAATCAATTAATATTTTTATTTTTCTTAGAAATATTTTAATATGAAAAGATAGTTGATTGTTACTTTCAAAAATATTAATTTTTTAATATGATTTATTTCTACTGAATTTAAAAATTTTAATATCTACAATTTTTCAAATTTTTTTTGTAGCTCTTACTGTTATTTTTATATTATAAATATTTTTAATAATAAATTATCGAATATTACAAATAAATATGTTTTATTAAATATTGATTATTTTTTGGAAAATATTATATCTTAAAATACTTTTAGAAAATATGGGTATATTAAGTATATAAATATGTATATGCATATATAGTAGTTTAAGCACAAATTATATCAAAATAAATTATTGAAGAAAATTATGTATGTAATTATTTTCATATAGGATAGTAATTATAAGTACTCGACCAATTCTAAAAGTATTGGACGCAAAAGTGAACCCAATAAAAAAATTCATAGAAAATTGAAGAAAAATAAAAGTATAATAATGACATGGGTTGGTGAGCCTATTCTTAGTAGCAAAGGAGATTTTTATGATGCTGTTATAATTAATTCTGAAATGATCAAAAGAAATGATTATATATTCATTGATCCAATTGATCCTTCTGTACCTATGCAAGTAATTAAAGTTAGATATTTGTGGGAATCAAAATTAGGAAATAAAATGTTACATGGTACCTGGCTATGGAGAGGTACTGAAACTATATTAGGGGAAATGTCACTTCCTAGAGAATTATTTTTAGTTGATGAATGTCAAGATGTACCGCTTAAATTTGTACAATCAAAAGCTAATGTAGTTATTCTTCAATTTTCAAGTAAAAATATAGACAATGGTATGAAAGTTTCAATCAAAAAGATGTAATATAACTAGGATATTTTTAAATTTGTGTGAATAATTTTATGATAAAATAAAGAAATTAATTATATGTATATTTTTAGAGAGCATCGCTGGAATAATAAAAAAAAATAATAAATCATTATTTTGTCAAAAACGTTATGATCATGTTAGTGCAAGATTTGAAAATATTCTGCCAGATTTAGAAGCTCCACAAGAAAAAGAGCATTGTTTTTGTTCAACTTGTACACGTAATTCTTTGACAAATCAGTATAAAACACCACAATTATTTGAGAAATTAGAAGAAATGAGTGATAGTGTAAAAATTAAATTTGGAATGGTCAAATATTTAGGTGAAGAGTTTCGAATTGGTACTGCAGTTTACCTGAAGCCAAAAACACTTGGTTTTAAATACTTAATAAATAATAAGAAGTATTTGCAAAATTTTAAAAAGAAAATTATTGATGAAAAACAGTATCCTGAATTTTATCGCAAATTCAATGACAAAGACAAGAATTCGAAATTTGATATTCCAGAACCTTTTGATATTGGTTATATAACAAGCATATATTCTACTAGTAAATCTAAACTATTAGCTAGTATTAATTTATATATTACGGTAAAGAAATTGTATCGACCAGAAAATACACATGCCAGTGAATCGTTGAAAAGAAACTCTGATATTAATATTCTTTATTGGAGTGAAGAAGGTAATAACTAATTTATATGATTAACATTTTTATTTATTTTGATAAACTAAATTTTTAGAATGTGATGTGCAGTTTCGTTGTGTTATTGGAAAATGTTATTTAACATATTTAAAGAATTTGTATCACAGCATTGAAGAATGGTCAGCAATGGGACCAAATCGATTTTATTTTGCAGAAAGTTATGACAGTAAAAAAAAGCAATTTCTGGAACCCCCATTGCAGGCACGAAAAATTGGTAAAAATATAAAAACTGATCGTTATATGAAATCCAGAAATAATAAGATAGATCATTCTAAAGTAGTTATTTATCCTCAAATTACTAAAAAATTAAAAATTTTAGATATTTTTTCTGGATGTGGAGGTATTAGAAATATTTATTTTTTGCTTAAGTGTGTTTTACATAATTTGTTAATTAATTTATTATGTTTAGGTTTATCCGAAGGTCTCAAACTGTCTGGTGTAGCAGAAAGTCAGTGGGCAGTTGAAAATGATGAAGCAGCAGCCAATGCTTATCGACTTAATAATTTAAATGCATTAATTTTTACTACAGATTGTAATACTTTTTTGAAAAAAGTTATAAATGTAGGAATTAATTCTTCAAATTAATATTATTATAAAAGATTATATGTATATATATATATATATATATATATGTAAAAAAATGAATTTTTAAGGGTGAAACAACATTAGATGGTCAAAAATTACCACAAAAAGGTGAAGTCGATTTATTATGTGGAGGACCACCTTATCAAGAATTTAATAGTATGAATAGTTTTAATTCAACAGCTTACTCTTTGTTTACAAATTCTTTTATTATTACATGTATTTCATTTTGTAATTATTATAAGCCCCGATTTTTTATAATGGAAAATATAAGAAATTTTGTATCGTTTAAAAAAACTACTATACTCAAGTTGACATTGAGTTGCCTTGTACAAATGGGATATCAATGCACATTTGGAATACTGCAAGTAGGAAATTACGGTATTCCTCAAACTCAAAAAAGGTATACTTATAAATTATAAGCTTCGTTTAAGTAAATTATGTTTTCAATAACGAATTAGATTACCTTCATTATAAATATTTGTAGAATACTCATTTTTTCTTTTTTAGGATGATATTATTAGCTGCAGCTGCTGGTGAAATACTTCCTAAATTTCCAAGTCCTCTTCATGTATTTAATAAATCGACTTCTCAATTATATGTAGATATTGATGATAAAAAGGTTATATAATATTTTTTATATTATGTGACATTTGTTCTTATAGAATATAATTTAAAATATTTTTTAGTACTATTCATTAAAAGAATTACATAATTCGGCACCATATAGAGCTATAACTGTTTATGATGCTTTATCTGATTTACCCAAAATTGTAAGTGGTAATGATGAAGTTGTTATGCAATATAGTAGTAAACCTATAACTCACTTTCAAAGAAAAGTAAGTATTTTTTTTATATTTAAATTAGAACATTTCTAATACAGAATTATATGTTTTTAAGAACAATACATTATTTAATATTTCACTTTAGATGAGAAGAAATACAGGGAATGAGTTAGTTACATTAAATGACCATATATGTAAATACTTAGGACCATTAGTGGAAGCACGTATGAGATACGTGCCTACCAAAGTAGGATCAGATTGGCGTGATTTACCAAATATTTCAGTTCGTTTAAGTGATGGATCTTATATAGATAAATTGTGCTTATTTTTTGTAATTATATATACATTAATTTGTATATGGCATTAATATTTAAAAATTATTTTATTAGAATATATAAGTATAACAATAATAAATCAGAATTTATTTCTTCTACTGGAATATTACGAGGTGTTTGTACCTGCTGTGAAAATAAACCTTGTAATGTAGAAGATAAACAGGTCAATACATTAATTCCGTGGTGCTTATCACATACTGCAAATGAAAACAATAATTGGGCTGGACTTTATGGTCGCATCGAATGGGATCGTTTTTTTAGTGCAAGTATAACAAATCCTGAACCAATGGGAAAACAGGTAATTCAGTTTTGTTTCATTTTTTATTGATTATGTAATTGAAATTTTAATATAATATCTATCATACTTTATGATACTTTAAAATTATACATTTGAAATAATAATTTAGTTTATTTACGAATATATATTTAAGTAAGCATCAGGTTTTTAGTTATTGCATTAATTTGGATGTATTATTGAATATTATTTGTTGTATACATTAATGTTTAAGGGTCGTATTCTTCACCCAGAACAACCACGAGTAGTTAGTGTGCGTGAATGTGCTAGATCTCAGGGATTTTCGGATAATTTTCGATTTTATGGAAGTATTCAAGATAAACATAAGCAGATTGGTAATGCAGTGCCCCCTCCATTGGGTGCAGCTATAGGAAATGAAATAAGAAAAAGTCTCAGTTTTAAAGAGATGAATATTCTCTATTAAAGTGTATAAAAATAAAATAAAATGGGTTTAACAATTTTTTAATGAATACTTTTTTTTAAATTTTCTTATATGAATTTGGCAATATTTTAAATGCACACACATATATATATTATGCCAGCCAACATAAACATTTAAACATAGATATAAAAAAATTCTTTGAATGCATGAAAAATAGATTGCGTATTTCATTTATAATAAAAAATTTTAGTGATATCGTTACTTTATGTTTGTATATATAATTAAAATCTATAAATAAAATTCAATGCATATCAATAAAATGCATAGAATTTATCAAATGTATGTAGATATGCATATATTGTATATATAACACATACATATACGCTAAAAATAATTGGATATATTCAATAACATTTATAGATAAAATTTATTTCTTTTTTATACATGAAATATATAATTTGTTAGAAAAGGATATTTTCTATATTTATGCTTAAATGTTTGTTTTACATATTATTTTAAATTACTATTAATATAAAAATAATAAAAGAAGTATTTATTCTAAATATCATTTTAGTATTATAATTTTAAAAAATATAATAAGGAATTTAATAATTTTGTAGTTTTAAATTTATAAAAATTAGAATGGATTAAATTTCTCTATAATCTACTAGGTTCTTTTTCTTATTCTTACAAAAAGAAAAATTAAAATTATGCAATATATTTTTCAGCTGTGAAATATTATAAAAATAGTAAGTAATTTACTAGTTCCTTCTATCTCTAAAATATTAATAATTTATTTAGCTTTTATAATTTATATGTATCGAGAATAATAAAACAAAATAATTTAAAAAGTACAGAAAATATAAAGCATATATAAAGTATAATTAATGAAAATAATTTTAATGAATTAAAATAAATATTTATATTTTTGTATAATACTGTTATTTTTTTAAAAAACTATTATATTCTTTACAAACAACGATTTATTAATTAGATTTGCGCATATATTATTTTCAATTATATAAAAAATAAGAATATAAGAAAGTAAATAAAAAAATTAAATATACGATATAAAAATCAACGGTACTTAATATACGGCGGTACTTGGTGTATCTGTATGAAGACATAAATTTAACTTTTTAATTTTTTCTTTTATTTATTATCGCTGTTGATATGTCACTTTAATATACTTGTATATAGAAATCTAATTGGTTATTATTTTTTAAGTTCCAAATTTTAAAAGAAGTGGTCTTAAAAAAAACATGTTTGAAGCAATACTGTTTAAAATCAAAATTATGGTACTTCTAATTATTCTGTTATATATCGTATTTGCTAAATATCTTTATTGGAAAAATTTTACATCCTATTTTTGTTGTTTATAAATAGATCTATCTTCTATTGCAAATGGATTGTACTTTGACCATTTTGTTCGTTAATCTTTATTATTAAGTAATATATGTTTTTTTAACAAATTTTTTTCGAAAATGTTCTTAATAATAAAAATTTGTTAAAATTCAGTATAAATTCAATCAGAAAATACTGCTATTTCAACGGTAATATTATTAAATGAGTGATTTTCAACAATGAGTTCGACAATCAATTTTTTAAAATTGTTTTTAATTCCAGTATGATCCACACATTACTTTTTTTACAATAGAATTAATCCTCTACGAATTGTCATCTATTGTTTGTAAAGTAACGATTATATGCGATTTATGAAACATCCCAATTGCAAAAATTTTATTTATCTTGTAGTTTCTAAATGTTATATACTATATAAGTTTCCGCATAATTTTCAATAATAAACCGATAGTCACCTGAAATTACAAAATTCAGGTACAGAATTAATTATATTTCATTATCAGCATTGAAAATTTGTAAAATTTTTCATCTTCTTTTTCTTTTAAATACTTATTGAAAATATCTATTATTACAACGTACATGATTTCAAAACACCTATAAATCATATTTTAAGTTAATCCTTAATTTAATCTAGTAATCCAAAAACTGATTTTTTTTCTGTCCACTCTGAAAACATTAATACATGATAATAAATTTGATATATTTTATTTATTATTCAATATAACATATTGGTATATAAATATAAATTTTATTTAATTTAGAATCTTTTATAATAATCTGTTTATAAGATATTGTTTTAAAAAATTCTATGAATACTGTATAAATTGTTGAAATCGTAGAACATATGTATTGCATACGAAATTATCTGTTTTCTGAACTTTTAATAAGATCAATATTATTCATTTTATAAAGGGTTTACTAGTTTCAACTTCTTCTAACGTTTCTTAAAAAGTATTTTTACTTGTGATAGAAATGATAAAAAATTTGTAACATTGACAATAACTCTTAAAACTATTCTATTTAATGTAACTCATAGAAATCTTTTTGTAAGCTAATTTTATATTTTATGCACTTTAAAAATGTGTGATAAATATCAATTTTTTTATAGATTGTAGATATAAAACTGTATGATTATTATTATGATTATAAAAACGATAATCATCAAACTAAATTTTTTTTCCATAAAAAAGAGTTGATTTAGATTTCCTTCAGACTATATTTATTTTTTATAAATATTAACTGTACCTTAATATATATAATATATATATTAAGGTACAGTTATTATTTATAAAATTTACTTCGAATATTTGTCGGTAATATTTAAGAATGTAAGTGAATATATTTAATGTTAACAATGGTAATAATATGAAAGGCAAATATCGAACGTTGTTCTATTGGTTTACTAAATCCTAATGCAGAACACCATAAGCATTAATTTGGTATTCCTAAATATGGACATAATTTTCATCATGTCCACATAAAGATAGAACTGCAATTGACTATAAAGTAGAAAATGAAGTAGAAAATTTAAAGTAGTGAATGTGAAATTTAAATAAATAGTTCACATCTATAAAACTAACGTCAAAACATGGCTTATTTGAAATATTACAAAACATTGTCAATGTATACGAACTGTTGAAAATAGAGTTTAAAAATTGAAAATTGCAATGTTGATAAAGTTTTCAATAACATGCTAGAGTATTCAGACTCCAATTCTGACGTAGTGCTATGATTGTGAAATAGATTGCACAAAACTTATTATTACAAGGTATGGATTGCAAGTGGTACGAAATTAATTTCAACAACAATAAGGAGCGTCGTAATTAAAAAATCATCTTCAGTTTTTATACCAATCACATTAAATATTTCATATAACTATTTAATTAAATTTTTTAAATTGTAATTTATTTTTAAATTTTCATCAAGCTTTCCTCAAATATAATTTTTTACAGTAATAACTATGGAATAAATTGTAGAATAGAATTAATTATAGAAGTAGTTTTTTTAGATTTTTATTTTTCCTAAACTCATTAACGTCACTAATAAATATTTTTTTACTATTTTTTTCGCTATCATTGGATGAATAATACAATGTTATGATATTAATCGTCAATTTGCAGAATATTTAGATTTTAGTATTCTTATTTATTCATATCGAGGTGTAGTCCGTTACCAAGCCATTTTAAAGCTAGTTATTACATAAATTAAATGTATATTTCAGTAAAATTATATAATAAATAAATAAATATTAAACAGCCATTTCTACTACAATGTTAATATCTGCATTGATATTAAATGTCATAAAAAGGTCATTTTTTAAGTTATAATTTTATAATTTTATCGTTATTTATAACAAGTTTCTTGGTTTTATTAATCTATAAATTTTTATTAGATAAAAATAAAATTTTCAAATAGATTTCATATAAATTCGATGTTACATTAACATAATTGGAATTATATTTTTTAGAAATTTAATATTTCTTAGTAATTTAGAAATACCAAAAATATTCATTTAATTAAAGTTACATTCTTTTTTACATGCACAATAAATTATAAACACAAATTATTTTTTACATATACAAACAATTTTAATTAATTAATTAAATTGTTTGTAAATACATTATGCTAATTTATGGTACACATATTAACACAAATTAATAATATATATCTTATTGAATCATAGTAAATAATTTTTAATGTCAAAAATAACTGTGTAATAAATTTTTATATTGCCTGGATAAAAATATTGAAGTTTAAGAAAAAGATATAATTTTTAGCTGTAAATATAGATATAGAAATTTATAATAACATGAATTCGTTATAAATTATGTAATTCAATATTAAAATTCAAAATTTTTAGAATTAAATATTCTATTACAGAATTATAAAGCAGACATATTTTAACAATATTTGATATTTTTTAATGGTAATACGACTAGTTTTTTACAAACGTAATATTAAACTTCATAACAAGAGATTGTAAATTGTCTTTGAAATATAAAGTAGAAATAGATTACCGAAGTGTATGAACTAATTAAATAGAAATCTTACCTTGTATTAATGTAAATATTTTTTTACCTTAATTATTAAAAATGATGACATTGCAGTATTATATATATTACTACTTTTATATATAAACAATAATAATTATATTATATAAAGCAAATTTATTATTTAACAATTCATTATTATTTGTATTAAAGCTAGAACAAATATTTAAGCATTAGACTAATTATTAATAATGAAATAATTATAAATATCTTAATTGTTTATTTACTCAAATAAAATTTTTATTGATGATTAAATTATTTTAAGGAGATAACAATATGTAAATATTTTGACAGGATTGATAGGTAAATATATAGAGAAATAAACATAGTCAAATGAATAAAGATCGAGAGATAGAGAGAGGGATGATAGAAAGTAAGTTTTACAAAGCCAAATTACTTTAGTGATAGTGGTAATGGCAACAGAGGTTGAATAAAAACTAGGGCAGCACAAGCTGTTCTAGACGACTGTTGCGCCGGCGCAACCCCGAAGTGTACGATAGGACACTCACCCGGTTTCTATATGCCTTCAAGGTTTCACCGGTTCAATATAAGTAGCTGCATTTTAGCTTCATATATAAATAGTTATAAATAAAATATGTAACTACAATTTTTCTATTTTTTCGCTTTGCT